TTAAAACATTTTAATGAATCTGATCAGCACCATGAAGAAAAAGTCTGGTTCTCAGTTTATGGTGGAATCTGTCAGCAACAAAGAGAAAGTGAGGAAGTGATAGGATAACTCAGACAGCCAACTGCTCAGATGGCATCCCTACAAACTTTCTGGCACTTGGAAGGTGGGAGGAGAGGTGTCAAAAAGGAAGCAAGAGAACGGATCAGAAATCAATGTAGGCCTTCTTGGCGAAGCCAAGCAGGGAGGGTGCTGAAGGGTGCTGAAACCAAAGGGGAAGAGCTACTCACCTCCAGTGGTAAAGGTACAAGTGGCTCCCCCAAATTCCAGTCCCTCCTTTCCTCCCCTTAACCCCACTTCCAGGATGAAGATTTCTGAGTAAAGTTGGCATTCCCACCACCCTACTCCCCATATGCTTGAAAAAGGAGTGTTTTTATTGTCCTGTCTCTGGCTCTCAACCATGTGCCGTCATTCTGCCAATGCCTTGGCTGAATGGGCAACATCTCTCCTTGTGCAAATCGCTTAGAGGGTACAGCGCAGCTGGTGACAGTGCCAGGCCACTTGGCTGATGGCCCCATAAGACATCGGGATCCTGAATGAGTCCATGGCTCTGCAGGAGGGCTGGGACCAGCTGCCATCGGAGCAACCCACCTCTGCCATCTGCTGCCAAGCTCACAAAACCAGCAGCAGAGGCAGTAATGGGCCAGGGTTCCTGCTGCCTCCACTGCTCTGACCGACTCAAAGAACTTTAGACAATCCTTTGGTCTGAATCAGCACAGTACCCTTTGGGGGCCTTCCAGAGAGCAGCAACGCCCAAACTCACAGCTCACCTAGGAAGGTAGACTAGAGATATGCAACAGGGGACAGGCCCAGGCGAATGTGAGTCCCCGAACCTGAAATTTCCCTCTGTCTGTTGATCAACGTTCCATTATTCCTCCAAAATCCTGCTTTTTGAACATCTCTGGGAAGCTTTCCCTGACTAACTCACACTGACACTGGTAGCCTGTCATATTATTTGTTTGTTTAGGTGAGGCAATTGGGGTTAAGTGACTTGCCTAGGGTCACACAGCTAGTAAGCCTCAAGTATCTTTCAACTCAGGTGCTCCTGACTCTGGGGCTGGTACTCTATCTACTGTGCCACCTAGCTGCCCCTGGCGTGTCATATTGAACCTCAATCCTTGGACTCCAGAGCCAATCTGCTTTTGATAGCACTGCCCTGTCCTTTACATCTGTGATGTATCCCTTCCCCTGTTTCCCTGCTGTCACTATACTACTTCAGACACTTCACATAGAGACCCCTCAATATCTCCTCCCCGGACTACTGCTAAGAGATGTTTCCTCTTTCATTCTTCTCCATTTCTAATCAATCCATCCTCCAGGCTGCCATGAGAGTAGCCTTTCTTACTCATAGGAATCTTATTCTTCTGCAAGAGGCTCCCTATTCAAGGAGTTACTTGGCGTAATAGATAGAGTACTGGCTAGACGTGGCACTAGAAAGACATGGGATCTAGTCCTGCCTCAGGTACTTACTAAGTATGTCACTCTGAGCATGTTGCTTAACCTCTCTGTCTCAGTTTTCCTTATCTGTAATATGGGTATAATAATAGTAGCCTTTTCACAGTGCTGTGAGGATCAAATGAGATAATATGTATAAATCACTTTGCAAACCTGAAAGTTCTAAATAAATCTTAGCTGTTATTATTACTACCTAACACATGAAATTTAAATTCCATACCATTGTTGTTGTTATTGTTGTTGTTCAGTCATTTCAGTTATGTATGACTCTTCAAGACCTCATTTGGTCTTGATATTGGAGTAGTTTGCCATTTCCTTCTCCAGTGGATTAAGGCAAACAGAGGTTAAGTGACTTGCCCAGGGTCACACAGCTACTAGTAAGTGTCTGAGACTGGATTTGAACTCAGGTCTTCTTAACTCCAGGCCCAGCACTACATCCACTGAGCCATGCAGTTGCCTCTGTGTCAGGGAGACCTGAGTTCAAGTCTTTCCTCTAGTAAATATGTGCTGTGTCACTCTGGGCAACTTCTCAGGGCTCTAGGCAACTCTGTAAGGCTCACAGTTAGAGAGAAGGTGCTGCCCTGCTTTGGTGGTGAATTGTCTTACCTGGAGCAGCCTATGATGAAATAAGAAGTACAGTTTGGGACTATGAACAGCCTAAGACTGTATCTTATCTAAACTTTTTGTCTTTCCAGCACTTGGCATAGTCTACAGCACACAGTAGGTGTTTTCAACAATGCAACTTTGTTGCATTGTAATATTTTCACATTTTAAACTGCTTTGTGTATTTCTTTTTGAAAAAATTACATTCATCTTTTCCACTGGTGATATCATAGGGATTATGAATTCTACCTCCTTCATATCACTCCCTTCTCCATCTTACCCCCCACTGCCACACAGGGTCACAGGAGGTTTAGCCAATGATATAAATGGACTTGTTAACAGACTCTGGGTAATTCTGTGGTTTTCAAGCTTTGCAGATAAACAGGATGACTGTCACAGAGTTTGGTCCCTACACAGGAAGGAAGAAGAATCAATGTCAGTGGCATTGGACAATAGTCTCTGCACTAATTAAAGGAGGCTGGAAACTAGAGAAGGAACCCTAGGTCAAAGGGTGTGCTTCCTGGCAAAAAGGAAAAAGAAGGAGAAAATTTCCTTCTCATCCACTAGGTCTGCTCTAAGTAATTGTGTACTCTGCCATTGCCCACCCTAATCTGAATCCTTAGGAAGAAGACCATTAGTCCCTGGCGCCTGCCAACAGCCCTGACCCTCACACCTCCCCCCATCTGCTGAGAACCCCCAGCTCCATCCTCCCAAAGCTTCAGGGCCTGGCTAGGGAGAGAGAACTAATTTAAATACAACCCAGACAACCCAGAAATCATCTATGGGGAGAAGGATATTTTGGGTCTCCTCCAAGATGACCCTCAAAACACCCCCTGAGGTTCAGTTTGCATTAACAGCTGGCTGTGCTGAGCTTGCCTCAGAAATGGATCTGCTCCATCAGCTGACTCTCCTCCTGTCCCAGAGTTACTCTAACAGCCTGTCTGGTGGAAGAAAGAGAGGACCAAATATTTAACAGCCCATATGATTTTCTTCTCCTACATTCCCTCAGGCTCCACTAGATACATTTGCAAAAGTGGCTTTCATTTTCTCTACTCCAAACCCCTAGCACAGAGAGAAGACTCAAAGTCCCTAACTCCCTCCCTCCCTTCATGTCTTTTGCCTCAGACAAAAGCATCTGCTTTCTAAGATCAAATAGACCACACCATCCCGTTGGGACAGTGCTGGTCACAGGATACTCAGGGGTCAAGTATGATGCACCTTCTCCAAGTAATCAGTTTTTACTTCCATAAGACCCATCAGAAGATCCTAAGGAGTAGGCAGCCCTGCCACAAGCCAGCATTAGCAGAGGAAGGGATAGGGCACAACACACATCCCAAAGACCACTCAAAGGACAATCTATGCAGACCTGCAGCTCTTTGAGAAGAGCTATAGATTCCCATCCTCCTTCAAAGCCTCCTTTGCTATTTAAACCATCTCAGATGCACACTTGAAGACCTCCTCTTCAATCCCATTACTGAAGAATTTACATGTATAATAAAGAGCTGCTGTCTTGACACTAATCTTTGAAAAATTTTACATTTGTATTAATTTTACTTCCCGAGTTTTTAATTGAAGAGAGTATATTCCATCACAGGGGAAATAAAATCTGAGTTCATCTATCCAAGGGCCATGTGGCTTCATTAGAAATTACATTAGCTCCTCATTAAGCAACAATAATAATGTAGAGTTGGAATCAATAAAAAATACATTGCCCTAAGGTGTAGATTAGCTTGGTTCAATTATACTCTTATATGGCCAATCACCAGCAGCTTCAGTGCTAATAAAAAGGCAGTGGAATGCATGAGAACCTAATGCTTTTTCATTCTCACTCAAAGAACACATAGCCCCTGATTACAATGGCATAAAAGCAAATCCCATCCTGGAAGCCACACTTGTCTGTATCAGGGTCATTTGTGACGAGAAAAACTGGCTCACATTTCTGAGAGGCAGGAAGATGTGAGAGATGTCAGGGAGGCACTATGACACCATAGATTCATAGATCAAGAACTAAAAGGGACCTCAGAGACCATCTAATCCAACCCTCTTATTTCACAGATAAAGAAACTGAGACCCAAGAAGGTTGTGCTTTACCCAAGGTCACAAGTTAGTAAGTGGTGGAGCTAGGACCTGAACACAGGTCCTTTGACTCTAGAACCCATGTCCTTTCTACTGTCTCACTCTGTCTCTGAGAGCCAAATAGCCCCTATGGGGTCAAGCTAGGATTGTAGCTGACATTCTAGCCAATCAGATAAAAGATGAGTATCTTAGAAACCCAGCTTTGACCTCTGATCCACCTTCTCACCCCTACCCTCATATATAGACTAGAGAATGTCATTCCCAAAGGGCCCTGCAATACCATATGGGAGAAAGAAGACTTCCAACTTAGAGGAAAATTTGTACATGAACTCCAAGAAGTTCTTCTGAACAGGGTTCTGCCTTAAGCTGGGGTGTTACATAAAATTCTTTGGGTATTACCTATAATACAAGTACCAGGCTCAGGCTGTGGCTTATTCTAAGTAGTATCTTAGTTCAGGATTGGGGATAGAAGTCAGTGGGGAGAATAATTATAGATATGGGCACAGAAATATACCCTTGGTTAACAGAGATGGATAGAGGTAAAGACCTAAATATAATTCTTACCTTACCTAGTGAAAGATCCTTCCCAACATATTATCAGAGTCTCCTTTTAAGGGATTCTGGACAATCTCCAAGGGTTAATAATATATACAATAGGGATGGTGGCAACTATTGGATTCCTGATTGTGATACCCACCTTACCTAGATTCCCATGCCCAAACTCCATGGCTGTATAGTGCTGTCATACATGTCATCTCTACTTAATGCAGGGGAAAATGGCAGGAGGCAAGAGAAAATGAACAACTTACCTGCGTCTCTGCTAGTCTGTAGGGCAGGGCTAGTTGAGCCTGGACAAAAATAAAAAAGAAACAAATAAAATGGTTAGTTTTCCAATTAAAATAATGTCTTCAAGCTTTGTTGCCTTTCTTAGAAATAATAACTACATTACTCATCTAACAATCTGCCTGGGGAGTTTCCATGAAATCTGAAGGAGGGTCTAGTTAACTTATTATTCACCAAAACTAGTGGCAGTGGGAAGAGATTTTTCTGTCAGTCTTCCTCATTTGTAAAATGAGCATCTAGACTCAAAAAATCATTGATTTAGGGACCTTATAAGATATTGAGTCCAAACCCCTTCATTTTACAGATGAGAGAACTGAACCAAGGGAGGTTATGTAACTTTCCCAAAGTTACACAGCTAATAAGCATATGATGTTGTCATGCTGACTCTTAAGTCCAATAGCCTGCCCAATATTCTCTGTTGCCTCTAGCTTTTGGTAAGCTTTAGCTTTGGTAAGGACAATTGTCCTCCATTGGAACCTCAATGGCGAGAGATCACTTCTCTTCAATGACTCAATGGCCTCTTCTTGCTCTAAATCTATGATCTCATGAATCAACCTCCCCACACACTCACAGAGTAGCTACAATGTTCATGGGCAATGATACAATTGGCAAATGTCTTGTGGCAGTATCCCAGATGATTGAGGGATGCGTGATGAAGCTGAATCAGAGGACCTCCAAGGTCTCATCTAGCTCTAAACCTATGACTCTGTGACATTAGGTCATCTTGGAGGAAAATAAAATTTAATGTATTCCTAATTATCTGAAGAAAGAGAAAACCTTTTCTCAAGCCTTCTCCTACTCTTCCTTTTTTTTTAAAGAATAAAACGACAAGGATTTTCAAATGAAGGGAATCAAGTCAGACTAGAACCCCTAATTTGGGACTTAGGGAGAGGAGGGAATAAGTGGCTAAATATCGTTATTAACCTGGCTTGTGTATATACCTAATAATGATTTTAATTAGTTGCTAGCCACAAATAAGGAAAAGTTATTTGTGGCATAATTCTAGAATGCTATAAATAAAGCTTTGGGAAGGAGAATGTCCAAAAAGAAAATGCACGAGTTTCAAGGCTAGAGAGCAGAAGCTAGTTATTTGAGTTCTAGTCCAGAAGCAGCACAGCTGCAAGCTAAGCCAGGTTGGTGTTTTTAAGAGACTAGGACCTTTCCTTTAAAAGAAATGGAATCTAGAGGTAATTATAAAAGACAGATAACTTTGATTATAGGAACCTGAAAAGCTTTTGTACAAACAGAATTAAAGTAGCTAGGATAAGAAGGTAAATGGCTATATGAAGGAAAAAAAAATCTGTGTACTGAATTTCCCTGATAAGAGTTTGGTTTCCAAAATAAATAAACAAAAGATAGATAGGGTGTGTGTGTGTGTGTGTGTGTGTGTGTGTGTGTGTGTGTACAAACACACTTATGTGTGTATAAAATCTATGCCCCAATAGATAAGTGGTCAAAAGAATTTCAAACTATTAACAACCATATGAAAGAAAGCTCCAAATCACTAATAAAATGAGAAATGCAAATCAAAACAACCTCATACTCCATAAATTTTATCAAAGATGATAAAAGATAGGAATATCAAATATTGGGAGGGGGGATTGTAGAAATGTAAGCTCACTAATGCATTGCTAGTGGAGCTATGAATCAATACAACCATTCTGGGAAAAACAATTTGTGGTTATGCAAATAAAGTGATGAAAATGACCATACCGTTTGACCCAGAAATTGCATTACTAGTCTTATAACCTAAAGAGGCCATTGATAAAAAGCAATTCCTCATATACACCAAAATATTTATAGCAGCATTTTTGTGATAGAAAATAATTGGAAACAAAGTAGTTACTCATTAAAGAGGAATAGCTAAACAAATTGTGGTACATAAATGGAATGGAATGTTACTATGCTGTAAGAAATGATGAATGTGATGGAGAGAAAAGCATGAAGAAATCTACAAAAACTAATGCTGAGAGAATATACACAAAGACTAAAACAATATAAATGGAAAGAATTACAAACACAATCAAACATGAATGTAGCAAAATTTCAAAGGACAAGCGTGGCTCTCGAGAAGAGATACCCAAAAACCCTCTGGATATCTTTGCAACAGTGGGAGGTATACAAGTGTGGGTTGCATATATTTGTGCATTACAGATATTTTCAGAATTTTTCCATGTATCAATTGGTTATGCTCATTTCCCTCTTCCTTTTTCCTTTCTTTTTGTTTTTAAAAACATGATGTGTTATAGGAAATAGTTCTTTGGGAGCAGGAGAAGGATACTAGGAGAAATTATGTGATATAAAAAACAAGACATCAATAAAACTTATTAAAAAAAAAAGAACAGAAGGACCCAATAGCCAATCCAAAGGAATGAATAGCTAATAGTAGAATTCCAAGTATTAGTGAGAAAAGCTTGGGGACAGAAGTATCCCCTCCAGTCATATGGAGGAGGGAGTTTCCTTTTCCGTCCTGGGCACTATTCTTGCTAAACATTCTGTTGCACTTATAAAGTGGAGAAACACATGTTGCACAAGAAATCATGTACTATTTGGCAATTTTTTCCAAGAATACCCCAATAAAAAGAAGAAAATTTTAAAAAATTTAAAAAGGGATAGAGTCTCCAACTTGATGTCTTTTTCAAAGACCCATAGCAAGGGTGGCTGGTAGAGAAAAGCATTTAACAGGTGCCCAAAATTCCCTTTGCTATAGCTCAGATTTGAAGTGGGCATAGGTACTATTGAGCTAGAGCCCTGAAGACACACAGCTGGGAAAGGAGGTGGCACATGCTGTTCCAGGTGCCCATGGAGATGATGACTTTGAGTTGCAGTAATAACTTGAGCCTAACAGCAGAGTTCACACAGTGCTATGCACATAGCAAGAGCTCAATAAATACTTGCTAAATGAATGATTTCACTCTCAATTTCTGCCAAAAAGCCTGTTAAATTCAAGTAAATCTAGTGATTTACTAATCACAAGGCATCAACTTTCCCATTTGTTAGGAGGGAATGAGATGACTTAAGTAGATGTGTTTTGAGGCTTGGAGAATAAACAATTTTTTTGTTAAATTGGCAGGATATGGAGCTCTTTCTGGTCCTTACACAGCTGCCTCGCCCAGCCCCTATTCCATATCTGGGTTTGTTTTTCAGTCTCTCCCTTTATACCTATGAAAAACAGACATCAAATATGCCTGCCTATATGACTTTGTAAACAAATGCCAAGACCTGATCAACTCTGAGGAAAGGTCTTAGAGACAACCATTTTGTTAATATTAAACCCTTCTCTACTAGCTCCCCCTTGAACTAACCACAGGGATCATTCCTCTCAAAGAAGGATGCCCCTTCCTTTACAGGAGTCTAATGTGAAGTTTTTCCACTCCTCTCAGTCCCAGATTCCCAAGCTGCATTGTACCTAAAGTTGATTTTCCTTCAGTGCCCTCTACTACATCTCTTGGTCTCACACAATGAGAAGGAAACTATATGGTACACTGAACAGAGCACTGAATCTGGAGTCAAGAAGACTTGAGTTCAAATTCTGCCTCAGAGACTTATATCTACATGACCCTTAACAAGTTACTTAACTTCTCTCATCCTCAGCTAAGGGAAGGAGTTGAACTCACTATCTCTAAGATCCCTGCCAGCTCTCAATCTATGATACTATGAATTAGATTTCTAAGTATATATAGATATCATATTTCCTCATCAAATAGTTATTTCAGAAGACTGATCAACCTGTATTAACATGCATTCATTAAGCCCCTGTTAGATTCTGATGTTACAAAGTAAAAAAGTCAACAGTCCCTGTCTCCAATAAGGAGTCACTATATCTTTCATTTGATTGGAAAGAAATATTAATCATCAACAAGAACATTTCAAATACCTATTATGTGCCACACACCATTCTAAGCCATGGGTATACAAAGGCAAAAACAAAATTGTCTCTATTCTCAAGGAGTTTGCCTTCTATGAGGTGGTAGGGGAAAATCAACACATACACACATAACCAGAAAAAAAATTGCAAAGTAAACACAAAATCAGTTAGGGAAGGGGTACTAGCAGCATGGATGACCAGGAAAGACCTTCCATAGGAGATGTTACTTGAGGTGAGCTTTGAGAAGCCTAGAAGCCCAAGAGCTGGAAGTAAGGACTAAGTATATCCCCAGGCATGAGGAATAGCCCATGCAAAGACACAAAAGTAGGAAATGAAATTTCATGAGTAAGGGGCAAAAGAGGAGGTCATTTTGGCTAGATTCTAGTGTATGTGAAGGAGTGTAATGCTTCAGTAGTCTGGAAAGATAGGCTGAACCCATATTGTATAGATCTTTAGATGCCAAATAGTGAAGTTAGTATTTGATCCTAAGGCAATAGGGAACCACCAGCTTTTTTTTGGGGGGGGTAGCAAGGTCAAACCTATGATTTAGGAATATCACTTTAATGTTCACTTGGTCAATACATATACTTAAGTGTGAATATCATTTTGGCAGATGGGGAAAGAATGGATTGGAGAGCAGAAAGTCTAGAAGTACTGATTAGAAGACTATTTAAATGGGCAAGAGGTGATGTGGACCTGAACTAGGGTGGTTGGGGCATTGGCAGAAAGAAAGAGACATCTGCAAAGGATGTTGTAGAGACAGAGTTAAAAAGACTTTGCAATTTATTGGAAATGAGAGTAAGGTACAATGAGAAGTGGAGCTTGACTCTGGGGTTGTGGACATGTGACTGAAAGGATAGTGGTGCTGTTGTTAGAGAGAAAAGGGAAGCATTTTGGGGGGAAAAGAAGGAATTCTGATTTGTACATGTTGAGTTTGAAATCTTCTGTTGCCCAGCTAATATTCTTTATAAATAAATGGTCACATCATTCTTCTGCTCCAAATCATGCATGGTTCCTTATTGCCCAAGAAGTAAAACTGAGACTTCCAAACCTGGCATTTGAGGCCTTCTACAACATGACACCACCATCCTTTTCATCTTTACCTCCTACCCCTTCCATACAGGCTATATTACAGCC